AAGAAAGAGCTCCTATTTGTTTCCAAACAGGGCTGAAAGGCCATTTCTTTCAGAAATCGATCGGGCATGGAGAAGGTGACCCGCCCTAGAATGTGTGCTCTGGGCACACTTCCCCCTTGGCCCTGGACCTCTGAGATAAGGCACTTCGGACAGTTTAAGCAGCTTTCAATACTTATAGGGCTTTTTTTTTTCTTTTTTTCTTCTTTTGGTTATGGACATCCTAATGCCCAAATAAATTCCTTCCTATGCTTAAGAGTTATAATTGTGTGCCTGACCAAATGTCCCATGCTGGCCTCAAATGACTCTGAGGCCATCTGTCCCCCTCCTCATAGGATTCAGCCAATCACTATTCGCCAGATTCCTTGCAAGAACTGGCAGTGGAAGAATCTGATGACCCACCCCCCATGACTTTTGCCTTTAAAGCATCTTGAGATCTGTAAGGCCCTGTTTTACATTATTCGGGACAACCTGAATATGGTCATGCCTAGGTGACTGTCCTCATTCTGGCCTGAATAAATCATTTTGCTTTACTGACTTTGCTTGAGCCTTTTATTGTAGGTTGATAAGGGTTTCTGATATGAAACGTTCTTGTGATCAGTCTTTTCTACACGAGCTATAATCCAAATAGGTAGTAATTTGCTGGATTTACTGATAAACGAAGGCCTTGAGAAACGAAACTAGATTTCAGGTGTCCACGATGGGAGACAGTACTGATGACAGTACTCCCACCGATGGCTGAGTGTGTAAGCGCTGCGGCAGAAATGCTGCTCACAGCTGCTGCACTGCTTCAGCTCCTCAGTGACCTGTCTCTCAGTGGGGCTGGCCATCTCAGAGAAGTCACTATGCCTCGGTGAAGTGTATTTCTCACAGTCTCCACGTTTCTTTAAGCACGTCAAGTTTTCGTACCCAAGGCAAATCCGAAGTTTTATCTTCCATGTGAAGATCAAGTGAAGATGTGTCTACACCTAGATTTATGCAGCTGACGGGGTGAGCAAATCCGGAGAGAAGGCTGAGGCCGTGCCATGCTCGCATAGACCTCAACACTGGCAACTCTCCCCCTATAGTGACAACAGTTAGACGCTGAAACAATACCAGCAAGGAAAAGAAAAAGAAGTTTCCTTATTTTTAAAGGAAATACAATGCTTTTTAAAAAATAGTGGAAGAGATGCTTTTCTTTTTCTTGTTTTCCATTTTATAGCTCCTACCGTAAAAGGGTTTAACTACTTTAAATTTTAGTTACTATTTCCAGATTGTTAGAACATGATGAATAATAGTCTTAGGCACTAAAAAAATAAGATAAAGTGACCAAACTAATTATTATAGCACTCATAGGATGCAAAATACATATAGGCCAGAGGTAGATCTGCAAATAACCAGGCAGCTGCAAATTCTTATTATAACTGGTGCTTTTTAAAATATTGGTCTTAGGTAAATGTTTACCCAGTAGCACATCACAAACCACAGAGCCAAGGGAATTTCCTGTCACATAAATGTGGAGTTGGGAGCCAAAACTGTCTATTGTAACCACAAATAATTGTTCTTAAGGACAAAATAATATGTGACTCGTAAGAAAACTTTAAATTTTGAGACACTTTTAGGAGCAGTGGCTAAATTCAGGAGGTGCTGGCATCATACCACAGCTTCATCCGTACAGGCATTTAAAGACGTTCGTGTATTGTGTGCCTGAAATTTTTGGTCTCTTAAGTCTTTGATCGTATCTCTGCTTAGCATACGCAAATAATATAAGGAACACCCAGATTAACACTCCTAGCATTATGTATTGTGGTTACACCAAACATCACTATTTGAGTCCTTATTTGTAGATCATTCAAAAACAGATGTTTCTGGTAGTCATCAATGTATATAATAGCACATGGATAAAAGAGGTCCCTTCAGGTGGCAGCGATGTCCCATCAAAGCACCAGGGTGGTGTGGAATGGGCTGGGGACCAATCAGATTAACACCATCATCTCTCAGTTAGATTTTCCTTAAAAAAACAAAACAAAACAAAAAAACACACAAAAAAACAAACAAAGAAACAAAAAAAAGCTAAATTGCTTCTCTCAGTTAGATTTTCCTTAAAAAAACAAAACAAAACAAAACAAAAAAACACACAAAAAAACAAACAAAAAAACAAAGAAACAAAAAAAAGCCAAATTGCTTTGAGTTTTCCAGAGTAAAAATGGCAGCACAAGAAAATTCAAAAGTGCATGCAAATTGCATCTCACATCTCCACAAACTATTCATGTTTCCCAGAATATAATCTGCTCTGGGGCTCTCAGACAACCACCTTTCAGATCAGGTGGTAAGCAAACCCATAATTTGTTTGGCAGGAAACAGGCGTTTGGTACGCTCTAGTGATTAGGAATTTTTCCAAGAAAACAAAGGGAAGGGAAGAGGATGGGAACCCAAATCTGCATCTAGCCGGAACTGCAAAGGAAGACAGACGAAGCTACTGACATAAAGATGATGGAGCGATGTCCCCCAGGTCAGCAGTGGTTTCCACGCGACTTGGCAAAGTCTTCAGTGGGTCACTTAGTTGCTCAAGAGGGAGCCCCGTGAGGCACCAGCTGAGTTGGAATATTCAAAGAGGCTTTCCCTCCTCTCTGCTCTCCATCCAACACATCGGAAGCCTTCTGTGCTGGGCTCTCATGCCCTCTGATCTCACAACTGAAAGGCAGGTCTTTGAAGAATTGGCCACAGGCTTACAAGTCACCTATGGGTGCAGATGCCTCTCCACTGAGGTACAAGACAATAGCAATCAGTCAGTGACCATTGCTGGCAGTAGCTGAATCAGTCATTCAGCAAACTGCCTGAAGTGGCCTCTGCATCAGGGTATGAGCTCGACACCCCTAATCTGATTTTAATACTGCGGAACCTCACAGGCTCAAATGCCTAGCAGCACTGTCACAAAGAATGTGCCTTTATTCCTATACGTAGATCTTTTATGCAGAAGTATATCTGACTGAAAAGTATAAACTAATGGTGTGAAACAAATGAGTTCACTGAAAACGTACAATGGCTAATGGCCCGGGTAGCTCACCAGAAGTGAGAATCTTGCAGCAGAATTAGAGTCTTATGGGCTGTATGTTGGAACTGTTTAGGATTTTTGTTTTCGGTTGCCAGAGGGCACCTATGTTCATCAGAGGCAGAAGGGACAGATGGAGAAGGAGGAAGCACTCCCCAGTGGGGTGTAGTCACACCGCAATCTCGCCTCCTCCATTTCTCCATCTTGTTGAGATGTTGGATACATATGCACATGTGCTTAACATGTTTTCCAAGCTGCTAGGGCTAGGATTTGAACCAGTCGGCCATGTGGGATTTGGTTCTCTTAACCAGGAGGTCACAGGCCAGCCCAAGAACTGTTTAGTTTTATACCTTCCTAAGCATGACCAAAAACATTATTTTTTGGTTTAAAATGTATACCAAAGCTACTTAGTGAGTACTGGACAAACGTAAGAAGTGCTTTACCGCCTTTGCATAAGAGAGAGGAAAAAAGGGTTTCCTTTTGAATTGTAGCTCATGATTTACGCTTGGATAATGTCATTATGTGGTGAAAGCAATCTAACTCTTATAAGGTATAAGGCAGGAAAAAGTCATAAAAATGTTCAAGGAGCAGTTACTGACACGGTGACACAGTAAAGAGGTCAGTAAAAATTGGGTATTTACTGCAGGCAGGTGAACTTATGCTTGTGAAAAGTGATTCAATTTGCTGAGAAAATCCAAAGTCCAAATCCAAATCCAAATTAGAACTAGCTTTTCGTTTCTTTTCTTTTTTTTTTTTTTTAAGGTTTTGGCCATAGGCATGTGGGCACAGTGGAGACAGAGAAAGAGACAGTGAGGGAGAGTGAGAATCGCCCCTCGAGGGGATGACCGTGTCACATTCTCTCCTCCTCCTGGGATTTGGGCACACAGGCACATGTGCCTGGTGTGATTGTTTAAGCCACCAGGTCTGGGACTCAAACTGTGGTTGGCTATGTGGGAATTCAGCACTTTAACTACTACACCACCTGCTGGTTCAAGAATCAGCTGTCTTAATAATGAGACTTCACTGTCATTTCTTAGCACTCTTATATTAAGGATTCAACAAGTTAAAAATTAGAGCCGTTTTCGACCCTTATATCCTTTCCTTCAAAAAAATGAAGCAGGAGGTATTTTAATAAGCTTTACATAAATATTATTGTTGGGAAAGCCATGATATATTTTTCTAGGCAAAACTGTGTTGGCTTTCCCCATGACCCAAAAGAATCCTGATCATTTCAGCTCTAGACAGCGTGGTACACTACCCTGGTACAGCCATAGCCTCTCTGAGAACTATAAAATGCCTCATAATTAAAAAGCCAGAATGTAACAATATCTCTGGTAACTGCAATTATACGAGGAGGATGGAATATGGGTAGGCTGGACCGCAATCATGTCTGCCAGCCACAAAAACAGTGACGGCTGGAAGATCTTGGAAGATCAAAGGGAACCGAGCAACCCTGTTTGACTGGCTCCAAATACCGTGTTCTACAGGTGTCCTGTGGAGCTGCGGAGGGGTTTAAGACGACCTGTGCTCTTCTATTGGCTGTGGCCACACATACAACCCAGAGCCCACTGTGGGTCCTGGGACGGGACAAGCGCAGAACTCAGAGCTGAGCCCACAACTCAGAGCTGAGTCTGAGCTCTGCCGACACTCGGACTAACACTGAGATGGTGAAGAGCCACCCAGAATCCCGGAGGCGACACTTGCTTTCTTTTTTAACCTTCAGTGAAAACCATTCATGAGGTTAGTGTGCTAACACTATCGGTCAAGGCTGACAGGTACATGGTGGCTCGCAGCTGACCATCTGGATAGGAGGTTTTCCAGTTCTTAGCTGACTGTTTTCACTATTTAACCAAATAGGAAGGAAGGCATAACTCGGGTGCAACCTTGGTCAAGAAGGAAAGGTTAATATCCTATGACCAGCCAAACTGTCAACCTGTTAAAAAAAAAAAAAAAAGCCCAATTTTCCCAGCATTCAAGTACATACGTGTACATTGTATCTGTTTAAGAACATCTTAGGGTAAGGGGGGAGAGGACGAATGTGATAAAGCCATGAGCTGAACACCCACCAGGCCCCACTCATTCTCTGCGGCGGGCAGCATTAGTCAGAAAGTCACTCCTTTGGTGCGATGGCCATGATACATTTGGACATGTAGATCTTTAGGGATTTCTTTATTCGTTTTGCCGGCCGATGGTGGGTGTTCTTTGTTTTCTTGGCTGGAATAATTCATCAGTGCTTCCTGAGAGGCTCAAGCAGGATCACTGGCCAGATTCCAAAAAGAAACTAGAAAGAAGTTAAGACAAAAATGAGAAAAAAATAACGAGGAACAACCCACGGGGCTCTCTATGCCCGTAGTGCGTGATAGGTTTGTTAGGCCTGTCCTGATACCAGCGGCCCAAGCACAGCCTATCCTCCCCGGCTTGCGCCAGGTCTGGAAATGGTTTCCTTTACTTAAATGTATTAAGCATCTGCTTTGTTGCCAGGGAGTGGAGCACTGTCATCATCTCTACTCTGCAATGGAACTATTCGGTTTTGCTGTGTTGTTGAAGGAACAAAGGTTTAGGGAGAAGAAACTGGCCCAAGGTCATACAGTAGCAGACTCGATGCCTTCTGGGTCCGAAGCCTGCTCCAGTGGCTTTCTGCACCACGTTCCCCCACCTCCATCCCATCCTCCTAACAGCCTAGCCCCCAGCACCCACACACCTTAGGAAGCGTAGCAAGTGCCCTTACCTTCACTTTTGGCCTGTATCTCAGGTAAAGAGTTCTTGTATATAAGCTGAAAGCAAAGAGGGTGGGGAGAAAACTCTTCAGACTCATTTCAATCCATGCAAGCTGGCTTACTGACAGATTTAACCAGAGGGCCTCCTTGCATATGAAGAAAAGCAACACTGGGGTGTCCTCTGTTCATCCGGCAACCATGTTTTCTGAGCACCTACTCTGCAGGACACTTGGCCAAGTGTTAAGAAAGACACGATGGCTCAGGAGGTCTGCGGCTCGGCAGCAAACTTTCCACTAAGGCTTGGTGTGCTGCTCCGCCTTGGAAGGCACATGATAGAAAGATGAAAGCAGAGTTCCTGAAGAATATTTTAGCAATGGGGATATCGGCTCTACGAGGACTAAATGTAAGGGATGGGACAACCAGGAGGGTAACAGAAGGTCTCCTCCACAGTATCCTTTCAAGTGAGCCACCTCTGGTGCGATCAGATTCTAAAATCAGTGCACACAGTTCAACTGTCACTGAAAACTTCATCAAACTGGGCCAGCTCATGACCTGGTGGTTAAGGCAGCTGGAACCCACATGGCCGACCCAGTGGTTCAAGTCCGGGACCCAGTGGCTTGAGAAATACACTGAATGTGGGTGTGTGTGAGTGCATGCCCAAAACCCCGAGGGGAGGGAGAGGTAAAAGTGATTGCAGCACGATCCCCATGTCCCATTGGGGGTGCTCTCTTGCTCCCCGCCCCATTTCTCTCTTTCTTTGGTGAATGCATGGGGTCTCTAGCAAAATTTAAAACATAAAAACTATCTTATGTTTCATATTTATAATCTTAAATAGCCAAGTAAAGGACATACTTTATTATTCTATCCTATAGTTTTTCTTCTATCATCGTTGTTTTGCTAAATTAAATAGCACTGTGGTAAATAATTTTGTGTTTATACACATTATTTTCATCTTTCTGGGTTATTTCTTTAGGGTAAATTCCCAGAACATTTCATGAACACAGGTAATGTCAAATTTCACTGCATTAATTCACAGTGCCATGGACTGTGTGATCATACCATTTCTACTGCAATGGAGGAGTACAGAGGGGATTTCGAAATACTACAGCTCAATTTATAGAAAGCACCTCATCATCATTTTTACTATTATTTTGAGACAGATTTTTGCTACATGGCATGTGTGCTTGCCCGGAGAGACAGAGACAGACAGAGAGACAGAAAGTGAGAAATCAACCCCCACAGGGGATGGCCACAGCACAATCCCTCCTCCTCCTTTCTCCTTTCGGGATGTTTGGGCAGGCACACACACGTGCCAGTGTGAGTTTTAAGCTACTGGGTATGGGATTCAAACTGCAGTCAATTATGTGGGAGACAGGGGAAGAGAAGTGGCCACCGGTTCATCTCGGGGAAGGAGAGAGATTAAGCTTAGACTCCAGCACTCGGGCTTTCACAGTACCCTGTGGGGGGTCTTGCTGCCCTTTGTTTTCTATGAGCGAAGATATGCTGATCAACGAGAAGTCAGAAATGTTTACGGCCTACTAGCACTCAACAGGGACCTGAACAATCTACTTAGAGTACAGATCATGTCAGAGGTCAGCTAATTCCAGTGTCTCACTTTAAGGAAGAGAAAACTGAGCTTCAGAGAGGGGCAGGCCTTGGCTTACGGTCACCCAGTGGCAGAGGCAAATCTCGGACGTAAGTTACTGATTTCGTCTCTAATATATTTACGCTACCCTACTGAAGAGTGAAGAAAAAACTTCTCCAGTGCTCGGTTAGAAAGCTCCATTTCCTACCTGAAAAGGATGTGAAGGTAAGAACTAAGGCCAGTTAAGATGTGCCACCATGCATGGAACTGGGTGGTGACACCTATGATAGGCGGCAGCTTCTTTCGGAAGTTCCTGCGTAGAGAAGGGGGAAACAGTCACCGTGTTCAAATTCTTAAATATTGTACAGTGAATGCTGACCAGCTTAGAGCACTTCTGAAATACCATTTTCAAAATTACAGCCTCTCCTCACTCAACCATCTACCTGGTTACCGATCGCTGGGACTTCGGACATTCCACCACGGGGAAGTCCCTTTGTCAGCCTTTGTCTCGTCCCCACAGTCGGTATTCACCATGTGAAGCGTTTGCAATCGCATAAGACTGAATATTTCATTTATCGATTTGTACTTTATTGTGCAACCATAGTAGTATTAGAATAAACAGAATAAATAAATTCAGATTATGCTAGACTTATATTATTGTGTTACAGTGTCTTGTCGCTTTCTGGCAACTACTTAATGTATTTTTTTGTGTGGATAGAATGACATTATTATATTATTTTAGCATGGTGTCATGTGGTATATACCCTTCAGTGCCACGCCACACCAAAAGACATCCACCTTTAAGCTCCTCACTTATTGACCGATTTGCTTAATGAGGAGTTGTAGGAACAGAACTTGGTTGTTAAGTGAGGATGTCAAGTGAGGAGAGCCTGTTCTTAGTTTTCTTAAAAATTCTGTCATGATCTGCCATGTTGTTTTCTAAAGTGCGTGTTAAGGACTAGTATTCCTGGCAGAAGTTCCATGGAGACATGACTCTCGTCAGATATATGTGGAGAACATGATATATGCCCTCTTGGAGATTTTTGATTCATAGTAACAGACTAAAGGCTGTGAAAGGTCCTACCAAAAATAAAAGAATTTATCTTCAGTTTTTTCAGGGTGCTCACTAATCCATGGACCCCCTTTTCAGGGGGTCTAACTTATGGAATACTAATTTATGGAACAAGTGTTTTCTTCGATGCACTTTGGGAAACACTGGCATAGTTGCTCCCTCAAGAAACCGCATACATTTCAGGGCACTAATATTTCCATATGCCTATGACATTTTCTGCTTATAGAATGATCCCAGAAATGTTTCTCAAGAAAGGAAAATAAATCTTACCTCAGTGAATCACAAAAGATGTTATCTATGTTCCATAATAAAAATCCTAATAAAAATATACCCAAGGAGGTATAACCCAGTCCTCTAAGCCATGGATAAACCCTGTAGGGAACAAAGAAAAGCAAAATGAAATTTTCTCTAGTTATGTCATGATCAGAGCTTGAGGCCAGCTCTTTCACGAGAAAGAAAGATTTCTGTTAGCATGACAGTAAAGGCAGACCTCTATTAAAATCTCTAATACATTCGTCTACTATTTTCAGCCATGAGAAGGCCGTCAGCATTTGATGGAGTATATCAGGATGGTAACAGGAAAGTGCCCAATACATTTTCAGTCCCATGGAAGAGGAAGCTGGTTGGTGGATTAGAATGAACATGGATTGAGTCACATGCTGTGTCAGGTATTACTCTGGTCAAAAAAATACACACACATCCCCACACATCCATTCATTAAATTAGGCAATGGATGTATTATTAGAAGGGGGCATGGAGGAAACCAGCAGTTAGCGTAATGGCTATGTCGTTGGACTCCCACATAGTCGACCGCAGTTCACGTCCCGGACCCGGTGGCTTAAAACTCACGTCGGGCGCGTGTGTGTGCGTGCCCAAGATCCCGAGAGGAGAATGGAGGAGAAGGGATTGCGGTGTGACCATCCCCCCTGGGGGGCGATTTCTCGCTTTCTGTCTCTATGTCTCTCTCTGTCTGTCTGGTGAGCACGTGCGCCCTATAGTGAAAAACCTCTCAAAAAAAAAAAAAAAAAAAAGAAGGGGGCATGGATACACACACACACACACACACACAGCATCTTCAAATTGAACCTGTAAGGCAATATCATTTTTTTCCATTTCACTGATGAGCAAACTAAAGCTTGGCAAGTTATTCAAAATAACAGCAGCTTATATATATTTTTATAGCTTCAAGGAGTTATAACATTCTCACATTAAATTCCATGTACTTAAAAATGTACATCTGAGGAGCACATCTGTGTATGCCTATGAAACCACTCCCACAATAAAGCTAATAAACATCTTCATCACCTCCAAAAATGCTTAGTCTGCATAATTGTAGATGCTTTCTTAATGGAATCATACCATATATACTCTTAGGTGTCTTTCACTGTATGGCTTCTTTCATTTGGCATAACTTTGAGATTCATCGTGTTATTACATATATCAATACTTGATTTCCTTTATTGCTGAGTAACTCCATTGTGAGGATGCAGCATAATTTATCTGTATAAATGCTGGGGGACACTGTGCTGTTTCCATCTTTTGACTATCACAAATAAAGCGACGATGAACATTCATAGATAAGACTTTGTATGGCTGTAAGCTTTCATCTCTCTTTGGCTGGGTTGTATGGCAGATGAATATTTAACTTTTTAAGATCCTATTGAACTGTTTTCACATTCTTGCCAGTCATGGTGTGACTGCTCCATTTGTTCCAGATCTTCATTAACACTTGGTACGATGTCAGCCTTTTTCATTTTTAGCTATTCTAATAGGTGTGTAATGTTTTTTTTTGTTTTTGTTTTTTCCCCAAGAGAGACTTTTGCTATAGAGCAGGTGCACTCGCTGGAGAGACAGAGAGATAGAAAGTGAAAATCAGCCCCCAGGGAGGATGGCCACACCGTGATCCCGTCTCCTCCTTTCTCCTCTCGGGATCTTGGGCACGCATGCACATGCGCCCGGCTTGAGTTTTAAGCCACCGGGTCCGGGACTTGAACTGCGGTCGACTATGTGGGCGTCCAGCAGCATAGCCATTACGCTAACTGCTGGTCCCTTGAGTATCTTTTCATGTACATATTTGCCGTCCATATGTCTTCTTGGATAGTATTTGTTGTCTGTGTTCTTACTGAGTTGCAAGAACTCTTTATATGTTTAAGTCCTTTGTTGGATATATATATATTCTGCAAATACTTTCTCCAAGTCTGTGACTTGCTTTCAATCTTCTAAATACTGCCTTTCAAAGAAAAAAATCTTATAATTTTGATAAAGTTCCATTTATCATTTTTTTTCTTTACGGTTTATGCTTTTGTGTCCTAATTAATAAATCTTTGCCTAGCCAAAGGCTACAAAGACTTTCCCCATATTTTCTTTGATAAGTTTTATAATTTTAGCTTTTACAGAGATATGATTTGTTTCTATTAACTTTCTGTAATAGTGTGAGGTTGAACTTCATTTTTTATGTCATAAATTATTCCAGCACAAGATTATCATTTCCCTACTGCACTATCTTGGCAAGTTTATTGAAAATCTTACCAATTTGTACGCATGGTCTATTTTCAAATGCTTTATTGACCTACATTTCATCTTTACCACCAGCACAACACTGTCCGGATTTAACGTCACACAGAATAAACCACTCAGTGTTAAATCCCTTCACTTTGTTTTTCTGTCCCAAAACTATTTTGGTTATTTTTTGTACTCTTTGTATTCCCATGTAAACATCAGAATCAGTTTCTCAATTTTTACCAAAAAGCCTGCAGAGGTTTTGACTGAAATATTGACCTTACTAAGCAATATGAGAGAACGGACATCTTAACCATACTGACCCTATTTCATTCTTAATTTTTACGGGACTTTTAAAAACAAACCACGGGTAAGTGTATTACATGGCATAGAGTTTGTAGTTTAAAAAAGTTCCCTTCTATTACTATTTGGTTAAAGTTTTTATTTTGTTTAGTTCTTTATTAGCTCATAAAGAGATGTTGAATTTTCTAGAATGCTCTCTAAGTCTACTAGTACTGTCATGTGTCCTTTAAGTTAAAATACAATGACTGGCAAAAATAAGTACTTTTTTTTTGGAGAGATTTTTGCTATAGGGCGCGTGCGCTCGCCAGACAGAGAGAGACATAGAGACAGAAAGCGAGAAGTCACCCCCCAGGGGGGATGGTCACGCCGCAATCCCTTCTCCTCCATTCTCCTCTCGGGATCTTGGGCACGCATGCACACGCGCCCGGCGTGAGTTTTAAGCCACCAGGTCTGGGACGCGAACCGCGGTCAACTACGTGAGAGTCCAGCGACATTGCCATTACGCTAACTGCTGGTTCCCAAAAATATGTACTTTTTCAAATATTGTTACTTAAGTATTTGCATGTAAATGAATGTAAAAGCGGATTAGTTTTTACACCACCAGGAAGCACGAGCTTGGCAATGTATGTAAAAAGCATTATTGATTGCCATTGTTAATGAAGGTTCCCAAAGAAGAAGGGCTTAAGAGAGTGCTGGTCTGGCTTCAGCTTTTCAGAGTTTCACAGCCCCCGTCTGGGGATGGCAAGAACAGGTACCAGGAAACATAGGGCTCAACACAGTGATGGCATCTGGCAGTGAGGGAAAGGTACCGAGTGTGACAAGAATATGACCAGTGGGCGTGGGGTGCTAGCTGTTTTCTGCTTCCAAACTTACTTACCAGAGGCAATCTGCAGCTCTCTGGAGTGGTTCATAGCAAATTCTTCTACGGGGTGAAATGAATGTCTTTGGTTATCCAGGTAGCAGGGCACAGAGGAGAGAGCAAGAACACAAGTAAGATTCTAGCGACACACTACCCATACAGGATCAGGTGCGAGGGTATAACGCAGAAGGCCCTCGCCGGATCTGTGTCTGGAGTCGCACTGCTTCCTTCTGGACTGGCTGTCTACCGGACAGCCCTCATCTGAGAAATCCCTCTGCTTCATAGCCACTGTCGCCTTGGAAACTGCCTTCCCCTCTCTCTTGTTCTTCAATGATAGCACATTTTCTTACATTATTTTGGTGATTTTCTTCTTTGCATTTTTTCTGTCCCCTATCTTTCTTCGTCTTCTTTTTTTAATGGTTCTTCTACACTGACTAAACATTTTCTATTCAGTAATATTCCAAGCAAGCCTCTTCTTCTTTTTTTTTTTTTTTTGAGCGGTTTTTGCTATAGGGCACATGCGCTCACCAGACAGAGAGAGAGAGACAGAGAGATAGAAAGTGAGAAATCACCCCGCAGAGGGGATGGTCATGCCGCAATCCCTTCTCCTCCATTCTCCTCTCGGGATCTTGGGCATGCACGCACACGCGCCAGGCGTGAGTTTAAGCCACTGGGCCCGGGACTTGAACCACGGTCAACTACGTGGGAGTCCAGTGACATAGCTATTATGCTAACTGCTGGTCCAAGCAAGTCTCTTCCATTTTCCATTTCTTTCTTCCTTTTTTATTCTATTCTCAGGAAGTCTTTTTAAACTATATTTTTCAAACTCTTCAGTTTATTTGCTCATATTTTAAAAGTACTTTTGGTATTGTTTGAGGTTTTTTAAATTATGATTTCTGGTTTACATATATTTGATGTACACTTTCGTGGGGTACAGCATGGCTTTTTAAAGCATGCATACAGTGTGTGCTAATCAAGTCAAGGATATACACGTACTCATCTTCAACATGGACATTACATTATGTTGTGCACATTTTATAACAGTTCTCCCAGTTTTTAATTTGTAAAATCTGCTGTGGTTCACTATTCTATAACGTCATCCTCTATTTATATATATTCTCTGTTAAAACTTTGATTTTAAAAATATAGAATCCTATCTTGACTCATAGATACAGTATATCTCTAGGAATACTGATGAACTAGTATTTGTTATTTATGAAGTTTTCCTCTGGCATAAGTTGGTTTCTATAAGTTGATGTTATCCTTGTTATTTGTTTTTGCTGCCATCTTTCAAGCTGGATGCATTCACCATACGTCTGGCACAGGCTCCTCATTTTTAAGAGTTAAAAAGGAGTCTACAAAGGTGACCCTAAGCCCTAAGCATGTAGCTGAGGTTTTTGGGCTAGAAAAGTTCACTTAGGGTTATCTTGCTAAGCCAATTGTTGGGGAATCCCCAATATCTGTATTTTTAAGTATTTTAGGCTGCTCATACTTCCTAAAAGACTTTCTTTTTTTTTTTTTTTTTTGCCTGGAGGTCTTTGTATTCAGCCTTCAGAGGACACGAGATCACCTAATTTCTCTGATTTCAGCATGGCATTTACTTGCTCAATTGTGCCTGGCAAAATCTGATCCAGACACGTTGTTTACCCTTTCCAGAGAATAAACCTTCAGACTTCTGCAGGTGCTCAGAACTATGGAGTGAGGGGATCTA